GCAATGCCCCAACCCACCCTTCAAATCCCTTCCACCATGCATTTCTGTTTTCCCTTTTTGTTTATTGGATTGTTCTGCTGCTCCTTCTCCTCACCCCACCACCCTTGGATCGTAATGTAAAATTCTTTTACCATGTCAAGAAATTATTTAAAATACAGGTACTTTGAAAAAAAAATACAGGTACTTCTCCGAACACTGGCCGAAGCAGGGCAGGGAAGAGGCGGCTGCTGGCGGCCGCCTCTTCCCTGCCCCGCCCGGCTTCTCCGATCACCGGCTCTTGCCTGCCACCTGGGTTTCCGATCACCGTCAGTGGCAGGCGGCTTCTTCTGACCTTCCCCTTTCACCTCCCAGCATTGCACCTACGTATGCAAATTAACTGCCATCTTTGTTGGCGGTTAATTTGCATATCGCCCTGATTAGCCAATGGGAAGCGTAGCAAAGGTACGGTCAATTACCATGTTTGTCTATTATTAGATAGGATACTTCTCCAGTTTGGCTCATCACTTTTATATATATAGATACTTTTCTTCCTGCTCACAAGCATAATCCATGCTTCCACTTCCAAACAATATTTCTCAACCTTCTTACCAAAAAGTGGAGGTTCAAAGCTTTTGCTCCCCATTTTTATAAATGGAGATCAAAAAGGGAGTGAATGCCATTTCAAAACGTAACCCTCCTAATCATTTTTACTCTTCACTGTGAATGAAGTCACCAATGCCTCAGGCCCTGCCCCAAATTCTTTTTGAAGCATGAAAATGCATAACTCAGAGCAGATGTTTTGTTGTATAATATATAGACCTCTGTATTAAGCATCTAATTAAAAACTTTATGCTCATCAGCCCATCATTTTTTATTTATTTACATTTTTTGTTAATCCTCACCTGAGGATATTTTTCCATTGATTTTTAGGGAGAGTGGAAGAGAGGGAGAGACAGAGAGAAACATCGATGTGAGAGAAACACATTGATTGGTTGCCTTGTGCATGCACCCTGACCAGGGCCCTGACCAAGGAGGAGCCTGCAACTGAGGTTTGTGCCCTTTTCGGGACTCGAACCTGGGACCTTTCAGTCCTCAAGCCGACGCTCTATCCACTGACCCAAACCGGCTAGGGCAGCCCATCACTTTTTGAAGTGTTTAGGAAGCAGTTGGCAATACCTTCTACAGTCTATCCCAATAGATGCTATTTGTCTGGAGAAGGATTGGATTTCAAGAAAGAAGGATGTTTGCATGGAAGACAGGAGGGCCCATCAGCCTCCATTGCCTGTGTGCGTTTCATAGAGCTTCCATCTTACACTCATGTCGTGGTTCATCCAACCAATATTTACTGAGTGACTTTGTGACACAGCTGTTGTGGGACCTTAGGGGACAGAAGTGAATGAAACAAACCAAGAACAACAACAACAACATGGGCCAAGATCAGCCACATATTACCAGCACGTCTTAGCATATTGTCTAAGTGACCTTGTCTTTCATGTCGTCATAAGTTCGACACATTTTTTTCTTTTTTAATATATTTGTATTGATTTCAGAGAGGAAGGGAGAGAGAGAAACATCATTGATGAGAGAGAATCATTGATGGGCTGCCTCCTGCACACCCCACACTGGGGATCGAGCCCACCACCTGGGCACGTGTCCTAACCAGAATCGAACCGTGACCTCCTGGTTCATAGGTCGATGCTCAACCACTGAGCCATGCCAGCCAAGCAACATTTCTGAACACAGAAGGCATCATCTTTCGTTTAAAAATTGAACGCACAACGGAGTGATCTGTATTTTGACTTTTACCATATTTCCTAATTGTCTTCATTAATAAAACATTTTGGAGAAATATATTTTTTTCTTGTTTTTTATTATCTAAAGTTTTACATATGTCTTCTTTCCCCCTTTTGACGCCCCTCTCCAGCCATTCCCACCTGGGCAAGCCCCCACCGCCCCAGTGTCTGTGTCCATTGGTTATGCTAATATGCATGCATACAAGCCCTTTGGTTGCTCGCTAACTCCCCTCCTCCCTTGCCATTTGTCTCTGGATCTATTCTTGTTCATCAAATTATGTTCATCATCATATCCCACATATGAGTGAGGTCATGTGATATTTATCTTTCTCGGACTGGCTTATTTCGCTTAGCATAATGTTTATTATTTAATGTATTTCTAAGAGGGTTTCTCCATTTTCCTACAATGGGAAGATTATGCGAGTCATTAATATTCACTTTTTATTAGTATATTTCTATTATTAATCAGGATGCTTAGCCTTGAGTCCTCCATAAATTTTTTTCAACTGGCTTATCCAAGTCAATTTCTACCAGGGAGGTTTTCTACTGAACTTAGAGTAAGTGTCTCACTATTCGGCAATCACTGATTTTCTCATTTGAGTTCCCCTTACTGCTTATAAAAACCCTGAAAAGTGATTAATTTCTTACACTTTTAGTTCCCCCAGCAGCTAACACAAGGCAGGCAGGAGCTCAGTAAACATATATTTTTCCCTCCTAAGTTCTATGTCAAGGTCATTGTTTTTTGTTTATTTGTTGTTATTTTGGGTGTGTGTTTTTTTACTCCTCACCCGAGGATATTTTTCCATTGATTTTTAGAGAGAGTGGGAGAGAGAGGGAAAGACAGAAACATCGATGTGAGAGAAACACATCTTGGTTGCCTCTCCTACACGTGCCCCGACCGGGGCCCGAGCCGGGATGGAGCCTGCAACCAAGGTACCCGAGCTTGACCAGAATCAAACCCAGGACCCTTCAGTCCACAGGCTGATGCTCTATCCATTGAGCCAAAACCAGCTAGGGCTGTTTATATTTGTTTTTAATTACTCAATTCTAGATGCATTAAAACAGCAGAAGGATTTTTCCGATAGGTACTAAAAAAGATAATTTTTAAAAAGAAAGATTTCATATTAGGAGAAAAAACCTATTTCAGTTAGAAGTTTTGTTAAAGGAAAATACAATATGCCTGTAAAATTCCAAATACAGGTCCTTGAATTTGGGACCTTTCTGCCTCCCAAATTAAATATAGAAAGTGACCTTGCATATTTCACACATTTTAAATCAACTGACTGTCGAGGCCCAAAAAGTTCCCAACAGAGAGAGTTCAGATTTTTTTTTTCTAAAAAATACTGTCAACTTTTCTACCTTTTTTTGAGAAGTGAAACACCTGACCCCAAAACTTCAAAGTTTAAGTCACATTAAAAAAGGTAAGAGGGCTAGACCTGACCTGATTCTACTGACATTTGGGTGGTAAATTACATATTATCTGTTTTTAAAATAAGCAGAATATGATCTACAAGTAGATAATTCTTAGTTTTAAGAGCTGATGTTTTTAGGTCTTTCTCTAGACTAGGGGCTGGTAAACTTGTTCGGTAATACCTTAGATTTTGTAAATATCTTATACTTTGCAGGTTAGATGGACTTTGTTGTTTAACTCTACCATCTTGGCTCAAAAGCTGCCATAGACTTTAGGTAAACAGGCAGGCTGTGTTCCCTTAAGACTTTAGGGGGTTTTTTTGCTTGTTTGTTTTAATATTTATTGATTTCAGAAAGGAAGAGAGAGGGAGAGAGAGATGGAAACATCAATGATGAGAGAGAATCATTGATCAGCTGCCTCCTGCATGGCCCACACTGGGGATCGAGCCTGCAACCCGGGCATGTGCCCTAGACCACAATCGAACCCAGGACCCTTCAGTCCCCAGGCCGATGCTCTAGCCACTGAGCAAAACTGGCTAGGGCTAATGTTTCTCTTTAAATAAGTATAACCACATTGAGGGGAATGATGGATAAAAATAACAGCAGTAAATATATGTATTTACTAATACCAGTACATACTAGTAAATCTATGTATTATGTCCAACTCCTTATGCAAACACATAGATGGCTACTGGGTTTAACTTCTAACATCTCCAAATTACTCCAGGTAAATGTTTAAGATCTGACACGGCACTTTTTAAAAATATTTTTTTATTGATTTCAGAGAGGAAGGGAGAAGGAGAGAGAGAGA